GGAAGGACGACGCAAGAGTACCACTACTCTACGAGAAGAAGTGTGTGTGTGTGTGGGGGGGGGGGGGGTGCATTAAAAATTCTGCAGGACTGCAGCACTGAAGCCAGTGCAATTGGTGGCCATGGTACCCTATTTGTAAAAGTAGAGCTACCACGCCAATGAAGTTGATCAATCAACACCTGGCAGCATCTGGAAATATACATAAGGTCCATGGTAGGAAGAGTCTCAATGCCACTGAGCATCAGAGATGGGCAGTAATCTCTATCTGCTTTACCATTGTGAGTCCATGAGTGCATTGTCTGGGATGAACATATTTATGAAGCAATAGACCACAAGATATAACTGTGAGTGGTCTTATGAAAAACCCTATTTCTACGGTGTGCATAACATTATCCTGTGAAGTTTTGTTATGTTTCATGTAACATTTGTGACACTAGACAGAGTCAATCAACCAATGCCTGGCCTAATCTGGAATTGTACATCAGATCCACGGTAGGAAGAGCCTCAACGTGATAGACATCTAGCATGGTTGCAGGACGTACAGTGAGGATTTTAAGACTAAGTATATCTGATCAGGCACCACTTGCCACAGAATGAGATCCAAAACATAAGTATCAAAAGGCCCCTGTAAAGTAAAATAAAAACAAACATAGTAGTCCACATATCCACCTTGATAATGTCCACCCAGAGAAGATGGAAAAGGGCAGCCAGGGACAAGGTGACAGGTCTGATGCGAAAAACATGATAAACACCCAGAGAAAGGGTAGAATATACCAGGCGAGTTGACCAGCAAATCCAACCTGTAAGGGGAATGGGAGAAAGTAGTATTCCAAGGAAGAAACAAAAGAACCCAGGAACTGCATAGAGACACAGTGTGTGTCATATACAATCTAAGGGCCCTGATTGGGCAAAAAGGTCAATCACAGTGCTCACCTAAACAGTCAAAATCTTGGGCATAAATGAATGGTCAGAAACTATGGAACAAAACACAGTGAACCCTGATTGCAAACACCACAAAAATACAGTGACCTCATGCCAACCATATGTGGAAAAGGGACAGCATAGAAAAGTAATATAAACAAACATGACAATAAAAGTTCAAATGAAGGACTTGTACGAGCATGAAGGACAACACTGAGAGTCCAATCCTGGAGAGAAGCAGGGCAAGGAGAAGGAGCAATGGAAAATGAGTAAAATAACAAAGACAGCACATGAGATTGGAACACAGAAGCAAATTCGATAACCCAAAAAGTGGAAGACAAAACCACCCCATAACCCACAGCAAAGAAAACCAATAAGTACCTGTCATAAAAGCCAGTGAAAAAATATGGCAATGGAGGAATGGTAAGAAGAGAGGGACGATAACATAGTCATACAGACCAACAGCATTAAGTATACCACCTATGCTGGGAAATTAGCAAAGAGGTTATTCATAAGGTTATTCAAATGTTGCCTGAAATCATACAATTCCTTACAGTTCATAGCTGTTACATCCGTGGCTCATAACTATGGTATTGACCCCGTAGATATTGGTTGATAAATCTGCTGTAGCAGTAACAACAGTGGTAGTTGTGACCACTTTAAATTGTAAGGGCATAACTCACAAAGTCAAAAACTGAATTACAAAAATACATAAAAGCAAAAAACACATGGATATAATACAAAAACAAACATCTGCACAGTAAGAATGACAATCAGGAAGTGATTAGTAAGTGCATGATTAGAGAGGGCGCTAGTTACAATAGGGGTAGTGTCACACTTCTATTGATGGAGAGTTGCTGCATGATCATTTACATGTTGATATGCAGAAGGTAGTGAAAGTTGAAAGGCTTGTGGCAAAAGAAAATTTTGAACCAATAAGAGGACAGTACTAGTCAAGAAAGCTTTTTGGGAGAGAAGGTAAGATATTGTCTCAGAATTATTACTTAATTAACAGGTGATTGTGTTTTAATATACACATGGCAGAGATTATGAGTGCTAAGCTGTGCTTCACACTGCAGAAACAGGGCAAACAAGTGCTAGCACACACACTAGCATCAACAACCTGGTAAATATTTAAAAACAAAAAGAAAAACTAAACTCCACAG